GAAATCTTGGAAGGTAGTAAACATTCTAAAGAAATATATTGCTTTTGGTGGAGTTGGGCTTTGAGTGCTGTTGAACACTTAGGGGCCGATTTATTAATCTTCCGGCCAGCATATAGCTGGGTGAATGCCGTTCACACAGCATTACAGTCACTACATGGAGCCGAGGAGCATAGGAACTCCATCTAGTGGTGGTAGTGCAATGTGAATGGTATTTTGCCCTGCTATATGCTGAGCAAAGGATTTATAAATCTGCCCTATAAACACATTGTTGGTAACACATATAAACAATTAGATGTTAAAGGAAAACTGCGCTAATAATCTAAAGCCCCCCCACATATATTTTCTATACTTACCTTTTTGAAGATGTCTGCTGGACATGCAGGATCCTCTTCGCCTCTTTTCTGGCGCTGGGCAGTGCTCAGTGATGCAGAGAGTGTTGCTGGTGTAATGGTATCAATGCTGTTCTCTGCATCACTGTACTATTTGCAGGGCAGCATAGTGATGCCCCCGAGAAGGCGGGTCAATGACACCCTAGACACATTGGAAGTTGGATGAATGACACTAGGTGTCTTTAGACCTGGAAGAGGACTGGCATTAGAAGAGTGAAGCAGGGAGTCCATGACACCGTACACACATAAGACGTTGGTTGAATGACACTAGGGGGTTGATTTACTAACCTTATAAACACGCCACAAACATGTATACACCTCTGTAGTGTGTTCCCTCCCAGCATGATCTATTGGTGGAATCTGGACACCTTTGTAGTGTGTACACACCCAGCAGGTGTGTTGTGCAAAGCCCTGCATGAATTGCAAGGTGATGTTGTGTAAATTAGCTCTACGTTATGTTGCTTGCGTTGATGAATCCAGGAATGTAAATGCATGAGCTAACCTATGGCGCATGCTACATGACGCGCACGTCCGTAAATACATAAAAACGTGCCATAAGGGCGTGAAAATGTGACACGTTGCTCGTGTTTGGTTGATAAATAAGTTTTGCTGTGTAAAAATGCACCTGCACCTGGTGCGTGTGTGTGTGTTTAGGTTAGTAAATCACCCCCTAGGTGTCATTAAACCAGGAGGAGGACTGGAGCAGGGACTCTGTGGGACGTAAGTATGCAGCAATAGTTGCTTTTTTTTTTAGTGATTAGGGCTACTACATTTTAAAAGGCTTGTGTGGATGTGCAAATGTAGTGCGCTTTTAGGTGCATTCAGCTTTCATTTGAGATGCTTCTGAACTCCTTCTGAGCTGTTTCAGTCTGCTTTTTACATTTTAGTCAAATTATATTGGGGGAGAAAAGAAGTTCTGATGCATACATGCCTACATAAGTGCCCATGCACACAATTCATTTTATATGCATTGCTTTAGCTGCTATCAAATGTAGAGATAGCAGACAAACCTTGTCATACTGAATAATGGTGGGAGGGCTCAGAAATATTTGATCATATGATTTAAGGAAATTAAAATCCCCCACTGGCTACATGGCATGTGGCATGCATTTTAATTTTCTTGACAATAAAAGAACATAATTGCTAATGTTTTTAAAATCATTTCTAAGAACTGCTGAGTTTGAATCACAGCCAGTGAACATTAAAATGAATTGCGGAGCGTTGGGCATGAACCCATTGAAATGAATCCTGGAGTGTAGCGCTCCACTACATAATTTCTCTCTAATTCATATACACATTGTGATTTAAAACTTTGGTCAGGTATGAACTCAAAGTCATTTCTAAAAAAAACAGCTATACTCACTACATAGATTAAATACAGTCACCTAGATGTGCATGCCTATATTGCAAGTGTCCTGGGTACAAATCTAGTTTGCAAATTCTGACTTTCTTGGTAAAGTTGAGAGCTGGCCCATCTCCTCCCATATGTCTGTGTTGGCCTATCACAGTGATGGGAATTTCACTGGTCAGTAGCCAATTTAGCAGGTCTTTGCAACTGACAGGTCTACTTTAAAACCATAGAACATGACAGAAATTGTCTGTAGGAGTCCTAAACTGGTCATAGAGCATTTGCTAAAAGGGCTGCGGTGTGTAGGAATATTTGTGAACTAGTATGGGATCTAGTAAGATATGCTGCACTCAACATACCCATTCTTTATACTATATAAAAAAATATTGCTTTTAGTACACACGTTTGCAAAATCAGCAGTGTGACACTTCCCAGTAATAACTGCATCAGTAGAGAGATATCTTGTGCATAATTGTGGGCTTTAAAAAATATAGGCATTTAGCCTTTACTGTGCAGTTGGCCAAATCTCAAAAGGCTGGGACCTTCTCAGATTTTCACTATTACAACATCACGTTATCCTTATTAACCCCCAGCCCCAGACTCAGACTCCTCCGCTTCAGCTTTGATTTTTCTAGATCTACATTAGGATGACAGGTTGCAGGGAAAAGGGGGAACAACTGTTAATAATACTGTGGAGAGACTAAAACATTGGGTTAAGCTATTCAGCATAAGCATGCAGTAAGTTGTGGAAGTTCAGTTTATTTCCTGCATCAGGGTTCCAAAACTTTTAAATTCAAGTAACCTTCTAATAAGTCCTAAGTCCCTTTTATGCCAGTTACATCTTAGATTTCTTGGAAGTTGATTGGCAGTATTTCCCAAAATACTGCCTTGCCTATATGTGGGACATGGACACACTGTGTTACTATTTTGTGCTTTTCTTGACATACGCCTATATTTGATCTAACAAAACTAATTTATATGAAAAATGGAAAAGATGGATTCAATGTGAAGACCAAATGGAGACATAATGTTTAACCTATAGCAACTAAGTAAATTATTGTTTGGGCCATTGTTGAGAAAATATTGCATAAACTTCCAGTGTGCACCACTAATGTGTTGGCAAGAGTGGTAAAGCACCTAGGAACTCTAATAGTGTTTAAATAATTCTATAATGGTGCCATTGATCACCAAAATATTAACACACAGAATTCATGAACATTTTTTAACATGGTATGCTACTTGTTCCTTACTTTTGAGTACAAGTATCAGTATGCCTAGCTAAGCAACAGAAGGAACGTTATCAAGAATGCTGCAAGATAACCCATTTATTAGTGCTCTGCATGTCTTACGAATTTTTTTGCATTAACTTTAGAGCTGCTGGTACTTTACACACAAGCGTCTGCTTAGATTATGCCTAAAAGAAGGTCTGTGCTTGGATCTAAACACCATATATGTATAACAGGGTTCAGCAACCTTTTCCCACTTTAATTGTCATGTTCACTTGCATTAGACAACCAGTGTGACAGGGAACAATTGTCTGTTGTAGCTTTAGTTTATTTTACACATTTTTGCATTCATAGCTGTTCTGCTAATGGCACGTTAAACTTATTATCTATCATATAATAATTATTGAGTTTAACTTGGCATTAGCAGAACAACTATGAGTGCACACAAAACATGGCCTCAGTGCAAGCACTTCAAACCTCAGATCAGTCCCAATGCCTTAAATTCAGACCTTTCATCAGTCTAAAACTCTGTACCTTTAGAAACACAGGATACCATTGTAGATGTGCCCACTTTTCCAGCACAGCACACCGAGTGGGCAAGGCTTTGTAATTGATAGCCTAGTAAGTTGTCAATTACAGCCAATTAGGGCAGGTGCCCCTGCACACAGCATAATTTACTCCCCCGGGCACACGTGCTGTGGGTTGCCAACGCTTGATGTATGACACATTATGTATAAGAGGGGTGTGTCTACATGAAATTAATTTTTTCAATAAAACAAATGCACTGTAGAAGGGCATATACAATGCAGAGACTGAATATATTAGTTTTGGGTATGAACCCTGAAGACATTTCAGGGAAATATTTAAAGTATGTTTAACCATTCATCTCACTTATCTCTCTCTTGAGGGAGTGATGATTTCTAGACGGATGTGGCATTATAATAGCAGACATTGTTTTGTCCACATACAGGTAGATAAGGTTGGTTATTACATGGGTCATGGTAGATTTTAAAGCTATCTCAAGTAAAGTGCAATCGCCGTTAGAATATTTGAATTTCAGGTCTTCATTTGCTTATCAATTCACTTTTCAAAAAATCAAAGTATAACATACTTAAAGTAAGTGATGATTCCCTACTTTTCAGTGGTCTAGTCAAAACTGTAAAATAAGGGCAGGCACTTTTTACATCGCTTTGATTTTTGATTCTTATATTTTATATTATATTTTCCAATTTTCCCATTCTACAAATTATAATAAAATGTGATCCAGAGGTTAAATAATTATGATCAAACATTACATTTTTTTGTCTGAAGATGTAAAAATATAGATAAAAGGGTTCTTTAATGGGTATGACATCCGTCCCTGACAAATTACCACAATTACATGAAAATACTGATATTTCTTTTTCATGGACTTTGAGGAAACCGTAGGCAATAAGTAATTTGTCCTCTGAGTTACACATACTCATATTTAGGTAGGACCAGTTGATTTCTACTAAATCTAAGGCTATAAGCACTAAATATATATTATATATAAGCCAAACAGGTACTGTAACATTCCTTTTGTTAAAAATAAGAAAACCCTGATTAAAACAGTATCAAACTAGAGTACTGAATAGTATATTGAGGTGAACAAAAAAAATCAAATCACAATATAAACCACATCAAACAAAAAAATTGTTCTTGAACAATATATGGCTTTCAAAGCCAAGTGAAAAGTTACAGAAACTCTATAAACAAAATGTATAGCAGGTATTTTGGTTGCAATATCAATACAATATCTGCAAATTTGCATAAATGTTTTGTGTCACAATATATCAGTTATTTGCAAATATTATACAATCTGGAATGCTTTAACATGGGACACAACTGTGTACAAGAAACATATACACTAATAAGAAAACAAGACCAGTCATTTTATAAAATGTATCTTTTTGGGATGCATTAAGTTAGCAGTGCTATCAGGAATAAATATGTTAAACCAAAAGTTTTATTTCTTTCTGTTGTATGAAGTACCACGTTCAGCTGCTGTTTATTTATTTATTTTTCTTTGTCATCATTGCCATGATAGTCCCAGGGACATATGTCCACCATATTTGATTTTTGCATTGTTTTGTTGTGTTTACTGTCAGTGGCTTCAGTATCTTGTTCTGATTGTGAAGTAGAAAGGTTTTCCCAAGGACATACCTCGACTAATTTGCACTTGTCTATGCCATGTTGGTTTGAGGTACTTTTACCTTTGTTTACTGGAACAGCTAACATGTGGTCTCCGAGTGCTGAGCAAAGCTCTGCACTTTTGGATTTGTCCATTTTAACATTTGAGCTTTTTGGGTCCAATTCTTTTTCATGACCTTTATTTCGACCTTTATCTTTTTCAAGACCTTCGTCTTTTTTTGAAGATGTTGCAGAATTTTTTGCTGGCATTCCCAGTCCTCTTTTTTTTGAAGGAGATGTTGGAATGTCTCCAGATGGAGATGAAGGACTTAAACCGGAGCTGGTAGGTGAAGATTTACCTTTTTTTACATTTAATCCATCCTGGGATTCAAAATCCCATGGGCACACTTCGGCCCGAAGAGCTAAAGGTTGTGGCAAATTGTTATTAGAATTAATATGGCCATCTACAGGTGGTAGTATGCCTTCAATGATGGGAATATTCTTTCTGTGTTCTTTATCTTGTGAACTAGATGATATTTGTTTCATTAGTGCTTCTTGATCTGTTATTCCGCCATCACCAGGATGATGTTTTTTGTAACTTTCGTCTTTCAAGGCCTGTTCTTGGCTATCCCTTCTATTTAGGTCAGATTTTCCTGGGCTTTTCTGTTTCGACTGATGATGTCCTTGTTCTGTTGTCTTAGATCGACTGTGAGATTTGCTTTTAGAGCGGGATGTGTGATTCTTTTCAGAGTCCAAAGGAGCAATGGAGACATGCTTTTGTACTTTGTTTTCAGAAGGCACAGCAGTGGGTGTAAGATCATACATTTCCCAAGGGCATACTTCTTCTATATCAAATTTGTCCTTAAATCCTAGAGCACCTATTGCTTTATCAGCTTCCCCCAACGACAAACTCATTGCCTGTTGCTTCATTATGCCAGGCTTGTGACTTTTTTGGGTTTCCTCAATAGGGCTTGATGTTTTTGGTAGCTGCTGATCTATGTTCTCCTCTTTATCACCACAAGACATGCCTCTTTGGCCTTCCTTGTCATTAGAATCCATTTTTTTATATTTTTCAGAGTCTTCCAAGCTTTTTGTCTTTTCTCCTAATCCTAAATTTGTATCCTTAGAGTTTGCAATTGCACTAAGGGATTTTTGCAAGACAGATAAACTTGGATGCAAAGGTTTCTTATCTAGAGTGAGATTGTGGGCGCTTGCAGACTTGCAGACCAAGGGCACTGATTCAGCAGACACGGCTTCTAATTCTTCGGCCTCCCTGTGACTGAGTTTTTTCCCATTTACAGAATTCGGTATCGAATTTTCAGACACGTCAACCTTTTCTGTGGAAAGTCCATTGGGTTTGTCATCCTGCCCTCTTAAATGATCGTAGGTGCTATGAGACTTTTTCAGTGAAAATCCCCTGTGTTTTGTGGACTCTTCCTTTAATTTTGCATTATGAGCATGTGAATCCTGGTGATTTTTCTTGCTGCTGTTATTTTTAGGGCTACTGTGATCCCCACCTTCTTTGTCTTCTTTAGAACACTGACGACTAACGGATTCGGGGATCTCTGTTATCCTTCTCATAATTGATCGCCCCAAACCTTTCTTGGAGCACCTCTTTTTTTGAAGATGAGGGTTGTTTGCAATCATCTTTTTCCTTTTGTAGATCTCTAACTGAGTGTACAGTTTCTTTAGCTCATCCTAGAATTTAAAACACAAAAATTATATTACAATTTAAGAAATAATTAAACAAGTGTTTATTACATGTGGACCAATATACTTACAAATGTTTACATGAAATCTGAATTATTACACTAAACTGACTGAAATTCTGATTCTGCACAAATGTGGCAACCTGGTTTATGGATTCTTTTTACCCTTATGGACCTTCATCAATCTATTATTGTTCGGTAGTTTTACTTCTCACACTGGATGCTGGAGAGTATTACTCATTCTGCTGTATTCTCTATAACATAAGCCAGAGGTAGGCAAAGTCTGTAACATCAGCTGTGGTGAAACATCATGCATCAGCCTCTTGGAGTCATGTCTGTGGTTGTCAGAGTTTTGCATTGCCTAATGGGTTTTCTAGTTGCACCGCAGCTGGAGGGCCAGAGTTTACCTACTCCTGACATAAAGTAAATGTTATCAAGTATACTGAGCTCCACATAATGGTCCTGAAAGTTAGAAAGATTTGAAAAAGGTTTATGTAGACATGAAAAAAGGTTGACCGGGGATTAAACTCTCAACTGCAACTGAAAAATCGTTTTAGGATGGACTGTAGCCTTTAACTTGCACCCCAAGTTAAAATACTGCCCTAATACAGCCACACCACCATTTCCATGATGCCTATCCTCTTTTGCACAGTATTTACAAAAATATGGGTTTCTGGGCATTTTGTTACATGTACTATATTACATAAACATTTGTATAATGCTTTTTAAAATCTTCAATTCAAGTGCAGTTTAATGCTCATCCATTGTGTCAGCTAATCTTTATACATGCATTACTGCATACGGCATTCAGTGTATAGATAAGTATCAGTGTTGTTTAGTTGGTAAGTGCATTCATATGTGCACACATATCAGTAACAAGGAACATGACCACAAAACATGTGCTCTGAAACCAACATAAAGTGCATAGCTATTAATGATACAGCTTATCATTAATTGATTAGCCTTTGGAGCTTGATTGTGCTGATTGTGCTGGGTGATACAAAAGCACATTTTCTGCTCACATGAACATGTCTGACCCCAACACTGGCCCCATAGCCATTGCTGCTACATCGCCACTGGTCATCAGGTGTCTGTAATGAAAAACCACACTGACTTGTATCAAGACAACACCAGTGGGAAGTCAGTATACTGGCCCACAGGCTCTATGACCCAGTCTTCCAACATACAGGGCTCATTGTAACACATATAACATATAAGTACATATAAACAGTGCCATCAGGCAACGAAAGTAGGTTCACAATATGGTGAAGTCCAGACATCCCAACTCTCGTGGACGCTCTGGGACTCTCCCGCTATTCGATAGCTGCTCCCGGCCACCCGGGAGAGAGATACACTTTCTCCCGGAAAGGTTTACTCTGCGATCGAGCAGAGTAAACCTTTCAATGCGATATGATTTTTTTGGTTTTTTTCTGACATCGAAGCCGCCAGCCGTTGTCAGGCAGAAAAAAAAAACCAGCATAGGAATGCATAGCTAGATTCCTATTGGCTATTTCACTTTGCAATAGCCAATAGAAAATCCCACACACTTCTTGTAAGCCCCTTCTATTTCTTTAGAGGAGTTGCAGCAAGGTCAATAAGCTGCCTATCGTGCCACAAGGTTGTTGACTTGTAGCTGCACACATGTAGGGTTAGTGCTACATTTATATATGCGTAAATGGACCCTATTGGCTGCCGCTGCTGCTCAGAGTCCCCAATCTCAATATCAAAATTGTGTAGCCAGAGTTAGTTAGGTTGAAAAGACTATTGAGTTTAACCAATAGAAGGCAAACATGAATAAATAGAAAACCTCCATAAACAGAACCCTATGACAACAGTTGCCAACAGCTGATCCAGAGAAAGGCAAAAACACACCTATATAGCATGGTTCAATTTGTTCCAACAAGGGAAATACATTCCTTCCTTGTCCCCTGAGGCAATTGGATAATCCATGGATCAATAATCACTGGTGTGATTACCTATAACATGTTAATATTCAGTTATATTCTGCGCATTCAGCAATCCATCCACATCATTTTTAAAACAATTACCTGAGCTTGCTAGAACTAGTTCCTGAGGGAGTCTATTCCACATTTTCACATTACTGTGAGAAGGCTTTCTGTATGCAAAGGTTAAACCTTTTGACAGCAGCAGTGGGCGGGTGCGATAGCTAGTTTTCTATTGGCTATTGCAAAGTGAAATAGCCAATAGGAATCTAGCTATGCATTCCTATACTGGTTTTTTTTTTCTGACTGACAACGGCCGGCGGCTTCGATGTCAGAAAAAACCCCCAAAAATCATATCGCATTGAAAGGTTTACTCTTTCCCTTCAGATGCAAAGAGTGCCCCCTTGTCCTTTGCAGTAACCTTAAAGTGAATAAATTAGCACCAAGTTCACTATATGGACCATTTATGTATTTATACAAAGTGATCATGCCCCCCCTTTAGTACCCCTTATCAAGAGAGAACAAATTTAGTTCAGTTTATCTTGGACCTGAATAAAGTCAGTAATGCAGCGGAGGCTTATGTGTTGAATGACATTGGCCGATTCTGAATAACTGAAGGCTCTGGTCATTCTCGGCATGTGCCGGCCAATAACAGTGAGTGCTGTTCTCGTTTATCAATGCTAGCACAAACATTTACATGTGTACAGCATAAATAACTCTGAAATTGACGGCCTCGGACTCAGATTTTTTCTGAACTCAATGTAACATTACACAGCCAGATCCAGCTGTCTGAATGGCCACATAGATTTGTAGATGCTATTCACATCAGTATACGGCGTGTGAATGAACACCTGTGTGAATGAGCCTTTATAGGGCTACAATATGAGTTTAAAATAAAAAAGAACATATTTTTAAAACATGTTAACAACATATTTATATATATTTTAATCACCGTAAAGAAAAAACTTTCATATGTTATAGGAATGCTATTCTGAAAAATCTTTGACATGGTCTGTAGAAGGCTATAAGAAATTTGAAGGAAATTGATGTGACATGAACTGGACTCACCCGTATATCCTCAGGGTCCAGGCTATGCTCACTCCATGCCGAAGTGATACTGCTGTTCAGATAGGATCCAGATCTCCCCATGTCTAGCTCATCTTCATAGGCTTCTGCTGCTATGTCATCTCTTGGAATGTTATGGGAGTGTGAAAACTAAAATATTAATAAGAAAAAAAAGAAACGTAACATTAATGGTAATAATATTAGTAATAATAATAATAACAACAAGAACAATACTACTGCTACTACTACTACTAATGAATAAAAATAACATTATTGGCAATAATAACACTACTACTACTACTACTACTACTACTACCACCACTAATAATAATAATAATAACAATACTACTACTACTGCTAATAATAATAATAATAATATTAATAATAATAACAATACTATCCAGTAATTGTGCATTTTAATTTTCACATGTAACATTGGGACACTGTGAAGCTCAGCCCCAATCTATCCCGGACCCTCCCTCCCATACATAAGGATAGTATATTAAAATGATTCCCCTAAATTCAGCCTCTATGACCTGCTCACAACTCATGAGCCACTAGAGTTTTTAAAATTTAAAAAACAAACAGCTCAGCTCAGCTTTGCCTGTTATCCCCAGTCAGCAGTGACTCCACAGCCTACCTCACCCTGTGCTTGTCACCCAGACCACTTGCTCTGTTGTTCACATTAAACACTAGAATGCTGGAGAGTTGTTGAATCACTGCTGGGAGAGGGGAACAGGGTGAGCTGAGCTACATAGCCACTGCTGGAAGAGAGAAGCAGGGTGAGCTATTCCTGCTGAGGGTGGGGAGCAGAGTGAGTGGAGCTTCTGAGAACTTCTGTGCTACTGCTGAGAATGTGGAATATGAATTGATTAAGAGTATATGAAGCTACAGATGTTTAGGTTTGTTTTTTAATGTTACTGCTTGCTATCAGTGATGAGCAGGGGCTTGGTGTGAACCCAGTTTGCCTGTGTTGGCCCCAGCTCACTCAAAACTGTGACCAACATTCCCCCTCATGGCCCAACCAGTTCCCGCAGTTGCGGCATGGTAGTTCCCCGCTCCTTTGTAGCTGTGGGGCGGGGAATGAACCTACCACAACTCAGTGGGCCAGGTCGGGGTTTATTGGTCACCGTTTTATGCAGGCTTGGGCAAACTCAGGTGAACTGGGTTCAAGCAAGCCCCAGTTCACCACAACTTGCTATGACTAAATACATACATCCACAGGCACACATTGCTCAACTGGAGTTAATGATTGAGCAGTAAAATTGTTCTTCCTAAGGGTAGGTTTAACCCGTGCTGTGAAACTTCCCCTCTCTCTCTGCATTGACAACCACATTAAAATATATGAGACAGTTTGAAATAATTAGAGGCTGACCTCTTAATACTGACAGTTTTTAATCTGTTCTTATGTATATTAAAGGCACCAAGGAGACTGTGGTGTGTATTCCATAATCCCAAGCAGACAGGTTGCAGAATTACCTAATTACCGAAAAAGGGTGTGGGTTGGATAGGTGCATTACGGCAGAGTCTGGGTGACAAATGAAGTACGGAGAGGGTGGGTGATACTCCTAGATTGCCTCACAAGGCTTCCAGTTTTTTGGAGCGTTCTTTGAAGTAAGCATAAACAATTAGAGCTGCAACAGTTAATCGATTAAGTCGATTAAAATCGACGATTGAAAACGTTGGCAACGTTTTCAATACCAATATTAGTCATTACCTTAGGTATTAACAACAGCCCCACTGTAACAGTCACAGTCAGATGAGTGTGGACAAAAAATAGCATTAACATCCAGTCTGGCTGAAGTTTTGCTCCAAGTACAAACCTGCAATGAAGAAAATGAATAATTAGCACATCTATTTCAGAAGACAGTTTTTCTTTTCTAGTACTGATATCACCAGCAGTGATTGCACATGCATTACTTCTCAGAACCCCATTTCATAAATTAGCTAAAAATAGCGCAACATGTGATTTCTGATTTTCTATTATTAATATAAAAACATGATAATCATATCCACATAACTAAACTATATTCATTAACGGGATGGGGGAGGGATTGGAGGTCTACTTTGCGAGGAAAGGTTAGCAAAACTGTATTTAATTTAGTTTGTGAAAAGATGCCTAAAATGTAGCTTCATAAATATTTATAAGCAGATAAAAGGTTAAGATAAAGATTTAGCTTATGAATTATTCATCCTTAGGACTATGCAAGGGAATGTTTACATGAGCTGCGTATGACGTACAGAACATTGTACCGTTAGTTTACAAAGCCAGTTTTTACAATAAGAGCTATTAAAGAGAAACTCTAGGCCGGTTTTGTAGATGTAACAGCCAAACACATACACACTGACCCTCACAAACTTGTCTTCTTATTCTGTGGGGACATTGGATCTCGCAGACTTGTTCCTCACAGTTTCATCCAGTTTATAAGTATGAAACTGTACCTGTACCCCACTGACACCTTGGCTTTCTTTGCAGTTTCTCTAAAGGAAAGACTTACACTTCTAGGGCTCATTCACAGAACCTCCATACGTTAATCGCACAATTCTGTGGAATTAACACACGGTGCCGCACAAGGCAAAGCCCGTGCAATTACAGTGCGGGAGGTACGTTGCGTGCCATTCATTTGAATGGCACCACAAAATGCACCTCCCACCCGCAGTGCGATCAGCTGAGGGACAACACGTAAATACCGTGTGTTGCGTTGTGATTGAAAAAATAGTGCATGCACTGCACTGCAACACTGCATATGTACAAATAGAGGGTTTGTAAGTAGGGATGAGCTTAGTTTGGGACTGAACCCGGTCTGAACCTTAGCTCCTCAAACAAGGACCTGTCACGAGTACTTCCACCTAATCAGCTGTGGATCTGGCATTGCCCGCACTGCAGCTGCATGTAAACAAAGGGGCAGGATGTTTGTGCTGACTTCATTAACATTATATGGTCACATGGTCATGTTAGGTAAATGTAATTTACCAAATATAGGCATGTAGCCAAATAAGGTCAATAACATCAATGCATCCCGCCCCATTGTTTATATAAAGCTGCGGGTGGTGAATTCCCTGCCCACAGCAGACTGGCAGCATTGAAGGAGGTTCTCTTTGGAAAGTGTAGCTGCAGGGTGGGGAATGCCCCATTCACAACTTATTGGGCCAGGAGGTGGGATGTCATTCACAATATTGCATGGGCGAACTCGGGAGGACTTGGTTTGCACCAAGCCCCCGAACATTACTAATGGTAACAATTTTTTTCCACTGCGGCAAAATTGCCCACAGGTGCCCAAGGAATTTTGTTTTGCTTTCCTTTAGACCAAAACCAAAGCCAGAGCTGTCATAGGCGGAACTTGAACGACATTTTCCTTTTCCAACTAAGTTAAATATACAACTATATTTTACACTGCACTGTCACTAACTTTCCTACTATCACATTGAGAGCTTGCAATTTGAGACGAAGCCCACTGCAAGAAACACTGTTCTTCTATAAAAGATGGTGGTGACAGTGAAAGGGTAAAATCATCTGTAACAGTATTTATAGTAATAAAATATCAAAATATGCTAAAGAGCACTTAAAGTAATATTAAAAGTCAGAAGTCTGCCCGGTCCATTGTGATCTTGTTCTGGACAGGAAGTTAAGGGAAGCTGAGCTGAGAAACTTGGAAGCAGCTGTTCAGAAACTGTAAATATGGCTGTAAAGATTTGGGCAAAAATGTAAAGCAATGCTTTGCTGGGCCATGTATATTTGTTTGATGTCGATTTATTATTGAAAACAAGTTTGGGAGTTTAAAACTACTTTAACTAACTACTAAGGGGCATATTGATAAGCAGTGAATGTGACATTGAGTAAAGTATAAACCCAATTATTAAAGTCTGGTATAGACTTCAACTTATTAATGTAATTTCAAATAATACCTGATTATCCTGCCATAAAGATCTTTGTTCAGACACTTCCAGTTATAGGGTGACAACTCTCTGCTACTGTCTCCCAAATGTGCTCCTGCATTGTCACCCTCTCAAAGGGATTTCTGATGGAGACTACAAGTAGTCATTTAAATACACATTCAATACCCCATCAGCCAAGTCCTCACATCATAGACATTACAATCTGATTGTATAATCTTTGTACAATGAACTTTAGACTGACCCAAACTATATACTATGAGGACCTACCTAATCTAACCAATCAATTTGTATCCAATCAGGCAGGCCTTTGTACTACATAGTTGTTGACAGATCTAAACTAGCTTGTACAATCAGACTGTAACAGGTATGGTAAGTTTAGGAAACACAAACCCTCACATGATTGTATTCGTATTTCTCCAAAAGTAGTTACAAAACAGTATTTCTACAAAAACCCATCATTTTCAGTCACTTGCCTAATAGTGTGGAAAATAGCTGAGATAATCAGCTCATTGTGAACAGCAACAGCCATGTAGCGCGGCTCGTGGAATGCAGATGGGACAGTTCGTACCGCGTAACAGAGGTACACACCCCAAAGAAGAAATAAAAATTCACCTGGAGGATAAAAGAAAAACAAGAACATACAGTATATGATTATTCCAAGAACAACAGCAGAAACGTTAGCAAGTAACACCACTGTAGCAGAAACAAAAAGTCCCATAAATGGTTTGTACAATTAAAAGGGCCTCACATTTAGTTTACTCATTTGTATTGAGATTGTAGTCTATCATGGGAGTAAGCTTGGAGTGGTGGCTACTTTACAACACACACATGGGGAACAAAAGTAGCCCCCCTCCAGAAGGAAGGACAGTGTCAGCACCAATTCAGAGATGATTTGAGGATCTACAGCCGAGTGATACACAAATAAGATACATTTTTGTTAATAGTTAAGGTACTTGAATACATTTTTAAGATTTAACTCCTGAGTTTAGTGTCACTTTAAGCTATGGCTGGATGCTGGTTGGCTGAACCAGCCAATTATTTTTAATAACACAATTAGATTGTTAGGAGCATGTCAAATGCTCCTATGCCTGTCGCAACCAATCAGCTCCATCTGGTGGTTGCCTCTTTTTACTGCACCTACCCCAGTCTAGTCAGCTGTTGGCTGATTAGGCTAATCAGCCTGGCTACACGCCCCTCACAACCTTGTGATTGGTCAGTGGTGCTCTATTTAGGCATCACAATGCCAGGGCTCTGGGCTTGTGATAGTTCCGGTCTTGTCTTGTCTTGCTCTGTCTACTCAAGCCTGTATCCTGATCTTCAATTGTAGACCTGCCTTGATTTTGAAACCTTGTCTTGCCTTGGATCTCTAACCCTGTACATGTTTATCCAGTTCTTGTCTTGTATTTGTTTCCTGTTCCTGTTAAGTACCGGTGGGCGTGCTTGCCTTATGGGAACGGCGGCTTCTATAGGTGAAACAACTTCTCGCTCTTTGCTCTGACAGCGTGCGTCCACAGCTGGTCCTGACAGAGATCACCCGCAATGAAAATGCTAGCCTTGCCCCTCCTGCCATGGCATATTACTGCTTTCATCTCATTTTCTGTAACATAAAATATATAGAAAATATTCTTCTGTAACAGCTATTGCTAGATGGAAGGCTTGAGGGTCAGAGATCTCGCTGCTTTCCCCGAGTCCCCAAGAGATAAACATTTCCGTCATCTACCCAAAACTGAGATACTAATATTGAGTGCACTGACCTTTTTAGAGCAAAAAATATATAACATTTAGTTTAAGGAGAAAAAACTTGAAATAAATATTTTTCTTAATTATGCTGTTTTTCCAAGACATTGGTCTTCAGAAAATCCCAATCCACTGCAGTGTTTGTTCATTATGATCAGAGCACATTATCAAAGAACAAAGTGGTATTAAGCGTGTCTCAAACTTTAATGTGTTTGCTGAGATAATGGAAATTAATCAAGTGTCCTACTTTAAATAGAAAAGATTTGGGGAAATTGTAACTGCTGTAGCTGCTCATTTGCATGGTATTAACATATACATGCATTTTAAGATAAGTTAGTTTTAAATTACTTTGTAGCATTGCTTGTAATTGAATACTAATGTGTAAACTTCACACTGTGCGAACAGCTCTGAACAAAAACTAGCCGGATCAATGAACTTTTACTTGTTTCCTTACAGTATACTGTATACTTTGGCTGCCACAGATTGGCAGCTGTTAGCTGCGATATATACAGGCACAAGAGAGTTGAACATTTGGCAGCACCATCATCAACAACAAAGGAATCCCAATCATGCTGTTATTTACCAGGGATGCACCGATAACGGTATTTTGGTATCGAGTACGAGTACTGATATTTTTTTTCGGTACTTGCCAATACCGAATACTGAAAGTCCCATTCAGAAAGCCAGGCAGCGTGTAATGACTCGCTACCTGGCTTCCTGATTAGTCGGGCAGCGTGTAAAGACTCGCCACCCGACTTCCCGAGTAGCAGGGAAGCCGTCCCCATGCTCCTCGTCACTAGGTGACGAGAAAGCATGGAGCCGGCTTTCTGGACAATCAGGAAGCCGGGCAGCGTGTAATGATGCTCTGCCCAGTTTCCTGATACCGGAAGTATCGGGCTAAGCATCGGAGCATTTGGGTGAGTACGAGTACTCGCCCAAATACTTGGCATCGGCACCTATACTAGTATCGGTGCATCCCTATTATTTACACTGCTCAGCAAACTGACATCTTTCCATTCAGACTCCCGGATGCTCACAGAGAACCACTGTAGCTGCCGCAATACCTGACATCACCAGCAGATGTCAGTACAGGAAAAGTCAGCAATTACAGCTTCCGTTTATGTTGGACAGAACTTCATTAACTCCATATCATTAATTTACGTAGAAATTCAGAGAATGTCAAACTGTTGAAGTATATACAAACCCAATCACTAAAATCTCATAAAAGTTAAATCAGCCAAAAGGATCAAATTAATAAAACATTGAAAAATAAAATATTGCATTTGTTGCAATATTCAGCTTCAATCTAAAGATTTCGCCCCGAGTATTATGTTTCTGCACTAGATGTCCTCAAGCTAATGGTCAGCATTATTCACACCACTTCCTCCGAGCCCAGGTCATCCTGGGCCCGCCCCAGCTTGTGACTGGACAGTGAAAAGAGAAGCAGCACAGAGATGAGCTCATCTCTCTGTCATTTTTGTCTCTCCTCCTATCATCATGCTTCTTGTTAGCACATAAACTGATTGGCTACTTGTACTACTTCTTCCTCTGACACTCCAACCCGGTCAAATTCAGACACTTACACTGCTTGCATTTCCAAAAATACACTTAATTAAATATTAATGTTTACAGAGTTGCATTCATTTATATATTTTATATCTGCCTGAAGCTCAACTTTTACATTTAAAAGTAATTTTCAATATTTTTAAATCTGTAACTCTCATTAAAATAACACCTGGTGAGCCTGCCATGAATGTCCTGGTATAGGGAGACAGCACTCCGTCACATTGTCTAGTAGAACACAAGTATAGTGGCAATCTCATCTAATGGTTTTCATTAAGGAATAGATTATACTAAGCAACTTACCAACTGCCATCATGTAGTCCCATCGATCTATGAGACACATGTTAAATAGAAGGTGGTCAGAAGTTTCCCCCTTGACAATAATGGGGATGTCTCGGTCCATGTTCTGGAATACAGCAGACGTCCAGGCAACCAGGAACCACACCACTAATAACAGGATGACCGACAACATTCGCATGACCCTACAGCTGGTCATGTAAGGGATTCGCTGGGCAGTACGAGACAGGAACACCTTAAGAACTCTGCAGAAACATAGTATAGCAAAATGTTTAACATCCATATACCATCTTACAACTGCAGATCTTTATCAAAGCGCTAAAGTAAGCCTGTAGGCAATTTGTGGTCTAAAAAAATGTAAGTCAAGCTTGGCTTTTCTCCCTTTTCCCACCTGCCTAGCATCAAGTCTTATCCATAAGGCTGGGTTTGCACTGTTGTGGCGTGTGCGATTATGCCTTGTGTTGACGCACCTTGTGTTAAGGCAGCCCATTCATTTGAATTGACTGCCTAATGCACCAAAACGCACAAAAAAAGATGAATGTACGATTATTTTGGTACTGTTTGGTAACACATGGTAGTGGGATACTGTGCATTGTGTTGTGCTGCATCGCACTTCTGTTGAAGAGATGCTCTGGGGTACCATTAAGAATGAATGGCATCACATCGCACTGATGCCTAAAATACATGTTTATGCTTGTTGTGGCAACGTGCATGCCATCGCATATGTTACTGCAGCACAGCAGTGGGAACTAAGCCTAAGACCACTCACTATAAGTAAAGCACCAATAAGGGGATGAAGAAGAGCAGAGCACAGATCTCGCTATTTCATCAGAATCTCTATACGGTTTAATAATATGTATTTCAAAATACAAATATTGTACAATAAAAATCTAATATCAGATTCCTACCTAAAATATCTACCTAAGAAAGATCTTCTGTGCTATGTCCTGGCAGCGCGCACACAATCATAGGGAGACATTGGAGATCAGACACTATTGTTTCGGTAACAGAGCGGGTGTGTGAGATGAATGAGATTGAGTCCTTTGAGATGATGCTTTTTTGAGAGGAGAATAGAACTGAGCCGTAGCAGCTCACATGGCTCCAATGAGCTTATTTTTAGTCTTCTGCAGATTTTTCCACATTTCTGTAACTATCTCTAGGATCGCAGGGAAATAAATTCAACTTAGCTGCTGGCAAAGGAAAACCCTGGGGAGGGGTCCCATCCCTTTTGCTTCCTATTTCTGTTCTTAGCCTTTCTAACCACTTTGTTTGGTCCCTATTTTCCCTCTTTCTCCGCTCTTTTACCTTCTTTACACTTCTATTTCATTATCATGCACCCTTATAAAGGAATAAGTCTTCACTGAGACATTCTGGAACAATGTCCTTTTGACAGACGAGACCAAAGTGGAGCCATAATTGCCATAATGCACAGCACCATGTTTGGTGAAAACCAAAAACACAGCATATCAGCACAAACACCTCATACCAACTGTCAAGCACGGTGGTAGAGGAGGTGATGATTTGGGCCTGGTTTGCAACCACAGGACCTGGGCACCTTGCAGTCAATGAGTCCAACTCCTCTGTATACCAAAGTATAAGTAAGTAAACCCATTCCATGAAGCTCTCTACGCACTGTTGTTGTGCCAATCTGAAGGCCACATGAAGTTTGGAAGTCTGTAGCTATTGACTCTGCAGACCATTGGCGACTTCTGCGCACTGTGCACTTCAGCATGCGCTACCCCGCTCTGTCATTTTACGTGGCCTACCACCTCGTGGCTGAGTTGCTGTTGTTCCCAGTTGCTTCCACTTTGTTATAATACCAATAACAGTTGACCGTGGAATATTTAGTAGCAAGGAAATTTCATGGATGGATTTATTACACAGGTGGCAACCTGTCACGGTACCACGCTTGAATTCACTGAGCTCCTGAGAACGACCCATTCTTATTGCTATTTTACTTTCAGCTACTGAGGCATTATTACACCAGTATGACACATTGTGCTGATTTCCCAGAAGTAACTTGCAATGGGATATTGATTTACTTCATTCCCACTCACACAGACTATATATAGATATATTTTTATCATTTTGCTGGAACATCTTATGATTACATTTAATAGACCAAAGTCTCACCAGCTGCCTAAACATATCTCTGTTTTGAAGATATGTAAAGCATAGAATCTGCGGTGTTAAGACATCAATATCTATTTTAACAGGCCTGTCCAATGTTATTTGGCATTAGAGAATAATTACATTTACATCCTCTTCATCGGTTCAGTCATGTCTGTAGTTCAAAGGTTTTCTAGACCAAGTTCTTGCTTCAATAAAGATTGATAAATGAAGCAGATCCATGCAAAAAATGTTTCACATGGGATCGCTTCTAAAAATTAGCATGATTCATCTTTGCCATGCAAATGTATTTTCACGCACTGGTGAATGCAAAAGAAGTCATAACGCATTCAACTTACCATTAACATTGGATTACTACTCATGTTGGCATAAATTGAATAGGAAGAGACGGCGTGTTCTCTGATGACCATAGTGCTGATTGCATAACAGACTTTAGTGTTTTTGACAATAATGTTATTTAAAGCTGAATTCCAGGAACATATAAAATACACAAATGAAGGCAGCTCTGTAATAATTAATACATCACTATAGGGCTGATTATAAACTATTCATACAGCTCCTTGCTGTGCAAATGAGATTCACAGTGCTGTATGGCCACTAGATAGAGCCGAGAAGCATAGGAATTTCTATGCTCATTTGCTCCATCTAGTGGCCAAATAGTGCTGTATATCTAATTCGCACAGCAAGGAGATGTGCGAATGTTTTATAAAGCAGCCCTATATTGATGTTTTAATTATTACAGCGCTGCCAGTGTGTCCATGTACCTTTAAGGAGGGGCAGGCTTCCTTCAGGCATTCCTGCATTTAATGTATCTACTGCTTAAATATGCTCCAAAATGGAGACTCTAAAAAATTGGAGTAAGGCCCACACTACACACAGGGGCCTTGACGAGGCAATGTGGCTTCCACATATTTTGCAAAACTTGTGCAACTAAAACCTTTGTTTTTAACACATACTGTTAGACAGGGCAATTTGCTTTGTTGCAGGCTAGCTGGTAAGTGTGCTGGCAAACTTCTGTGTTTTGTATTGTTTTATAAATCAGTCAACAAATGTATTTGTCTAACTGCATGAAGTCTAGGTACCTAAAATTAATTTGGTATCAGGCTCTTGCAGCCTACTCTCCATTCTGTGCAACACCGCTCTCCATCCTGATCTGTCACAGAAGGCTGAGGCAGGGCGGCGCGGAAGGAGAGCTCAGCCTCCTGTGATATCGCCGCTCAACGGGGCTCTCCACTCGGCCTCCTGACAGTTTCTCTCCTCCCCGCTGGACGCTGCACTGTGTCAGAGGGGACACAGAGGAGCGCACATCGAGGAGGAGAGAAATCACGGATGCACCGCAATTTCGTCATTGGTACTTTCTACATTTTTATTTTATTATTCCATACAGTAAGAACAAAAGGTGTATACCTGTACAGCTTCAGTGTTACAGTTCCATAGACTGTAGCATAGCCGAGCAGTCGAACCCATCTGAGCAACATACATCGGAATATGCTTGGTTCAAAGTATAAGATCACAACCTGTTTAAGACAAAAGACACATATCAATCAAGAGAAAACTTTATCATACCCTTATATTTCTATTTTCTTTATTGGAATATATAAAATACAATATATATTTTGTATATACACAAAGGACCGAGACAGTAAAGGAGGGTAAATACAGTTTCTTTTGTTAAAGCTGCTGTGTAGTAATGCATAGCATTACGCAAATATCACTCATTGTTTTGATCATTCTAAAATATAAAAGGCAAGATTTATTTATTTCAGGTATTTATTTTATTGACAATATACGCAGCGCTTTACATAGTTGCACATTCACATCAGTCCCGCCCTCAATGAGCTTACAATCTAATGTCCCTATCTCACATGCATACATACAGGGCCAATTTCGATAGTAGCCAACTAACCTACCAGCACATCTTTGGACTGTTGGAGAAAACCAATGCAAGCGCAGCATGCTTGCTCCTTGCATGGCCGGTATTTGAACCGAGGACCCTCAGTGCTGCAAGGCAGAAGCGTTTTTCCAAGAACATACTTCATGTGACTCTAGAAACATCAGGTATTCATGTGAGGACACCTCTCAAACAAATGCCATTGTTAAGTTAAATGGTGTTTACACAAAACTAGTTTCTGCTGTCCTTTAACACACTGGAAATAAGTGGCCAGTCTAAACTGTTTGCCAATAAAGTACATGGGTGTGGTTGTCTCCATTGTAGGGGTGCTTGTGTAAACACTGGACCCAAGCTTGCATTATTTTTTTACATACCGTATATACTCGAGTATAAGCCGAGATTTTCAGCCCATTTTTTTGGGTGAAAAGTGCCCCCCTCGGCTTATACTCGAGTCAGCGCCAGGTGTCATCTTACTTACCTCGCCGAGCGTCATGTAAAAAGAGATGCACCCTTTATAGAAGCTGATGTAGTAGAGGAGGCATAAGAGCTACGCCCACGTTGGGCTTGGCTACCAAACTTTCTAAATAAATAAGTGTGCAGCACAAGCTAAAGAAGGACGTCTTCAAAGGAGGGCTTCACTTCACCATGGGACAACACTAAAGAGAGAGAGAACATGCAAGAACAATAAACAATTTTCCTGAAATTGTGTAATGCCAGAAGTCTTGTTCAATTAGGAATTAGCAGAAGCTAACTTTGTATACAGCAGAAAAGGGTTGGATTTTGACAGTGGCCGGTGGCTGCTGTCAGAATACAAAGAAGAAAAATAGCAGGGGAAGCATTAGCTCCTCTGATATCTGCTGAAGTCCCTGCTATCTGTTGTTGTTTTTTTATACTTTTAACAGCAGCCCCCCGGCCACTGTCAGAATGATAAGGGCAATCAATAGCTAGACTGCTATTGGCTTTTTCAAATTGTAATAGTCAATAGCAGGCTGGCTATTGCACCCACCCACTGCCTGCTGTCAATCAGCAGAGGAGCTGACCTGAAGGAGAAAGTTCTCCTTAGTTGATCAGTTGATTGAGGTATGCTGGCCAGACAGCGGCACCCACTGTGCAAATGTCGGCTAATTCCTCAAGAACCTCACTTTAACCGATAACCGATAAAAGCAATGAGGCAAGCTTATGGCTCGTGTGCCAGCAGAGAGGGCCCCGCGTGCCAGCTGTGGCAAGCATGCCATAGGTTCGCCATCACTGAGGTAGGGTAAGTACAGGATTCTTATTGTGCATGCTATTGGTTGAACTAGATACACTTGTGTCTTTTTTCAATCTGACTATGTAACTATGCTATAAACTATGCTAACCTGTTATATTACCCTCCATGGGCAAAGTACAGTTCACTTTACACTTGGAATAATATGTACAATTGCTTGTTTGTGCACATATTTAATCCTTTATTTTAGTTGTCATTGCCTTATGGTGACTGATCACTGAATAACTGTTTCAGCAATGTCCATCTGCACCTGTGTTTAATTGATATTAAACCAGGCATTTCATTATTCACTAATGGCCTTCTTGCTATAAAATGTAAAAACAGCTCACGGTGGAACTTTGCAAGAAAAAGTAGTTACAAAAGCATTATCTCACAAGGCAGATTAACTAAAATGTTAAACACATAGGATTCTGCAAGCAAGGAGAGGACTGACAAAGAAATCTAAGAAATAAATGATGAGGGGAGTATCTCTCCCCCCTGAAACATTGCCATATGGTTGGTTCAAGCAAAGTGTACTCTTCTGTAGTGTTGCCAAGCAAAGGAAGGGTATCCTTTGAAACGTAAATCAATTACAAAAGCCACTCAAGACATGATAATGGTATGTGTGCAACTATTTTTCCAGCCTCTAATGATTTGTAGAAGAAAGAACTGGGTTAGTTAAAATGATTCTGGTGTGAGATATAAAAGAAAAATGAAAAACAAGCAACCTAAAACGAACAGTACTTTCCAGTTCTACTTCAAGTGAATCAAATCTCCATTCTCTTGCATAGGTAGAAAGTCTGACAGAATCTTCAGTATTCAACACTTCCAATTGTATCAGATGTCTGCGTCCCCCATCATGTCATTAGTGTGTCCCTGAATCTGCAGGGACACATTAGTGACATAGAAGGCCACCAGTGGAACTACAGCATGCATCAGGGGAAGCAATGAGCTGCCACAAATGGAAGTGTTGGATGCTGAAGGTTCTAGCAGACCTTATAGCTCTGCAACAGAATAGAGAAGATGTCATTCAATGGGGCAGTAGCACTTTTCTTTCACAAGAGTATCTCTTTTTTGCCAACCCTAAGGTGCTTTAACAAAAACATATCACATACACGCAAGGTCCCTTGTATTAATTCTTAAAGTGACACTAAGCTCAGAAGTTAAATCTTAAAAATAAATTCAAGTACCTTAACTATTAAAGGAGAACTATGGGGTCAGTGTTTTTCCCCATAGTTCTCCTTAGGGTAACAGGAGGACACAAACTAGCGTCCTCCCGTTACCATAAGCTCAGTATACCGTGAGCTACAGCTGAGACGCCGCAGCCGGAGCGGATTCCGACCTGGACGTCGGGATCCGCCCAGCTGCATGAGTGACAGCTGGCTCTGCCTATCTACCCGCCCCCTCCCCCGTCCGTTCTGCCAGTCAGCGCTGGCAGATCGGAGCGTGGAGAGGGGAATCCAGCCCCTCCCCCTGTCACGGCAGAGAGCCGTGACAGGATCGAGAGGTGAGCGAACCCGTTATGTATTCGCTCACCTCCCGATCTACTGAGCCGACCTGTGACAGTCTCATTGTCACAGGTCGGCTAGAACTATGAGGTGAGTGGAAATCACTCATCTCATAGTTCTCCTTTAACAAACTTATTTGTGTATCACTCAGCTGCAGATCCTCAAATTATCTCTGAATTGGTGCTGACACTGTCCTTCCTTCTGGAGGGTGGCTACTTTTGTTCCCCATGGTCCCTGTGTGTGTTGTAAAGTAACCACCGCTCCAAGCTTGCTCCCATGATAGACTATAATTTCATACTAATCTGTATTGAGATTGTGGTCCATCATGTAAGTGAGCTTGGAGCTGTGGCTACTTTACAACACACACAGGGACCATGGGGAACAAAAGTAGCCCCCCTCCAGAAGAAAGGACAGTGTCAGTATGAGTTCAGAGATGATTCAAAGAATTTACATCTGAGTGGTGCACAAATAAGCTAGTATTCCAGCTCTATCCAAAATTAAAACAATTAAAATGTTTTGGTTGGAACTGGACTTTAAACTAAACTTGCTGTAGACGGCCTCTTTTTGGCCTTGCATAGGAAAGGAGTATTACGTCAATGGGTGCACCAGGCCTAAATAGAATTCTGTTTTAAAAATAAATAATAAATATGTAAATAAAAATGTGGTATTTGGTGTATTCGCACTATGTGGCGTGCTGACAGTTTGCATTAACATCAATTAATAAAACTGTAAATGAATTTGGACATATCTGCAGCTCTGGTACTTTTACTTTAGGTTTTTTTAACACATCAGCTGTGCTCCAGACATTCGCTAGACAAGTTTCTATATTGGACATTCTGCCGTAGGGTTGCAGTCATGATCTTCATTAGAACTGTCTACAAGGCTGCTTCAGGCCTCACACAGAGTGAGTGCATTTTTGCAAATCCCTGCGCAGAAGTTCCACATGTTACCAGATGCCCAGCTGTGCTTATGGTACAACAGCAAGAAACGTGAATGGTTTTAAAGTGGGTATACATTAATCCAAGTGTCTTATCATTTCACCTATATTTAAAAACCTGCCTGGTCTCTTTTTACATGCACACACTGCAATTTCTTTGGGTAACCGGGCTGATCCTGAATCCTTCAGAACATTTTGAAGGTAGTGTGAAAATCTCTGAAACCTAGTTTAAGGTCTTTTTCCTAAAAAATGTATTGATTGTTTGTAAACCCCTACATATCACTTATATGGACTTGAACTAAAAAATTTAAGATTTTTTAAGTTATAGAAAGCATCTAGAAATGTTACTTGTGCATAACCACTTTCCTGAAAAATCTACCCTTTGTCTTGAATCCCTCCTGAAACATAGCACTGCCCTCCCTGACATGTGATGCAGGTAGGAGTTTTCAGATACACACACAGGGCCACAAGGGCATAGTGGGCATTTGCCCAGGGTCCAGTGTCATATTTACGGCCCACATAAAAAGGGGAAATGTTTCCTTATATTTCTCGCGATCGCACACAGCTTTTCATTTGCGGCCTCTGCCTTCCGTTAGCCTGGCCCAGCCACAGTGCAGCGCAGAGTGATCTCCTCTTGAGCTCTGACATCAGAGCAAGCAGGAGCCGAGCCAAGGAGAAGATAACGGAGGGATGGAGGAGATGGCGCGCATGTTCTGATTCAGGACTTCAGAAGCCTGTCTGGCTGTAAGCTGTGTGTGGCACTTACAGACTGAAGGCAATTACTTTCTCCACTTGCAGTGCATTCTAATGATTGTATATGACTGAGGAATAATTTATTTTATATGACAATACAAGTTAATATTCCTTACATTGCTCACTAGTTATGCTCAGTAGGTATTTAATTTGTAAATCTATAAATCTAACAAACTGTCTAC